AATAGGAGAAAGAGGGAAAGAGAAGGAAAGAGGGAGAGAGAGGGAGAAAGATAGTGAAACAGAGAGGCACAGAGTAGTGCGGCTCGTCACGGAACTGCTCCCTCTCGGTGGGTTTATTGATCGCAGGGTGCGGAGCGGACCAATCTACCCCTCGTGCAGCGTACGCCATGCTTGCTGGTATTTGCTCGAACCAGTCCGCTTGCTTGCCAGCCTGCCCGATTCTCCGCTCCTCCGACAGTCTTCGCTAAATCTGGAAAACCCGCCCCCCAACCCTATAAAATGCCGCATGGCCCGCTACCTGGACCGGAAATACCATACTGCTTTGTTGCACCTCGAATGGTGCTGATGCAGAAAAAGATCCCGATCGGCGACTCGTTGTGTGTCGTCGTTCGTTTAATTAATACCTACTGTCAGTAGTACTACGACCGATAGATCTGGGCCATGCAACATCGATCTGGTCTCGAAGGAAGGAAGGTCACCACCCCTGCACGCGACACGGATCAACCGTGTCGTCCTTTCATCTCATACCGATCTTCTTTCAAGAGAGAACGAGATTTTTCCCACCCCCTCCCCCGCATCAAATTTTGAAACTCGCTGCTTCTCGAGAGCTGCGTGTGCGCTCGATCGCGAGCAGTGATTCCTCTGCAGTGTCCGTTCGAATCGTTTCGAAGTTATACAGCCGATGCAGCGTACTTTCGTAAAAAAAGGAAAAAAGACGAGTCGCGTGCTGTTCCTTTCTTGCGGCTTCCTCCGTATTTCAAGGCGAGATGATCAGCTTGCCAATTTCATTCAGACCCACGGGTGACAATACGTCGACCGACAACGTCTACCAAGAATACAATCACGCCAGGCGAGCTGTTGCGATCACAAGCTGCTGTTGCGAGACAACGCCGCAAGCAGCAAGCTTTTTTCAATCGTGAACGATTAATCACGCGGAAATCGCACTTTACGATTCACACAGGAACACATGCACACATGTACACACCCACGAGAGATTTCGCAAATCCCCGAGGGACTACCAGACAGACAATTTTCAAATTGTCCCTGCCTCGTCGTCCCGACGATCGCGCGAATTTCGAAACAGGCGAAACAGGCCGTTCGAGCGTGACTCACGTGCGTTTTTCGTCGCACGCGTCGTTTCTCACCGGCTTTTACGTACCGACGACACGTCGATTAAATCGCAGAGACACACGCTGACCACACCGGTTCGGTGAACAGAACGAACACTCTAGGTCCGTAGACGACCGAAGAGTGCAGCGAGGAGCGTCGTTTGCTTCGGGACGGCGGCTGCTCCACAGGATCCCGAGGTCGACGGTGGGGGGGAGTCGCAGCCGTGGTTCGCTGTTGCCTCTCATTGTGGTGGGGACGCCGGTTGGTCGACCTTTGTTGCGCGCGCGACGGAAATTACAGCGGCCCGCGTTACTTTCGCACCGACTCTTTTAATTGTAATTGTCTTATATGTTATATTTATGTTTATGCGTCGTCACGCTGCCGAATTTCACTTCGAACGGGCCGCGCTAATTTCTCGCTCCTCGCACGTTCCTCCTCCAGCCGCGCGTGACTCGGGACATTAACGTGAAATTAAATTTTCTTACCGGTAGAGAAATGGAAAAATTGAGATTAAAGATTGCAACGCAGTTTAATTAATACGCGTTTTGCATTCGATTTTATCGCATACATCCATAGGATGCCGTTCTCCGGTAGTACTTAAGACTCCATATTGTCCGGAATTTCAAATATTTGAACGATTCGCGATGAATCTAGGATGACTCGATGAATGAAAGTTGAAAGCACTGGTTTTATCGCCGCGACACGTCACCGAAAAACGACTACTTTATTGATAAATTTTCTCAAAGCCGCGTGGATTATTCCACCGCGTTTGTCAATGCGACGTTTGATAAGGAAGGGTTCGTTCGTGACGCATTTCTCTGCCGAGTACATATATCAGTGTCAAACATGGTCGAAAGAGAACAGACGAAAAAAGACATAAAGGAATTGTCAAGAAATGATAAGTACTCGATTTTGCTTCCAACCTACAACGAAATCGAGAATTTGCCCATAATTGTTTGGCTTATCGTGAAATATATGGACGAGAGGTAAATATCGTGGCAACATAACCTCAAATCTGAGAGAAGTCTGACAGCGAGTCGCTTCTGCACAGTGTAATTAGAAAATTTTAAGTATGAAATTGATACGACTGGACAGTCAAGCGAAAATATACAACATTCTAGCGAACTTGATTATGAGATTATCGTGATAGACGATGGTTCACCAGATGGAACGTTGGACATGGCCAAACAGCTGCAGAACGTGTATGGAGAAAACAGGATAGTTTTGAGACCAAGAGAAAAGAAGCTTGGACTAGGCACAGCTTACATGCATGGAATTAAACATGCTACAGGAAACTTCATTATCATTATGGATGCAGATTTGTCGCATCATGTATTTATCTTAATGTCCAAACAATATTTCAAGAATGTCGTTGAATTTTACATATGTTTTTTATTTCTGTAGCCCAAATTCATACCAAAAATGATAGAGCAGCAGAGATATCTTGATTTGGATATCATTAGTGGCACCAGATATGCACAAGGTGGTGGAGTTTATGGTTGGGACTTCAAAAGGAAATTAATAAGCAGAGGAGCAAATTTTTTGACTCAGCTCTTGCTGAGGCCAGGTGCCAGTGATCTCACAGGAAGTTTCAGGCAAATAACTTGGACATTAATAAATGTGAATTTTGTAACGTCCTAAATATCTTACAATATTGAAATTGTTGCAGGCTATATAAAAAGGACGTATTGGAGAAACTTACTCAGTCCTGCGTATCAAAGGGATATGTCTTCCAAATGGAGATGATCGTAAGAGCTAGACAATTCAAATACACTATAGGAGAAGTTCCAATCACATTCGTCGACCGTGTCTATGGAGAATCAAAGCTGGGGGGATCAGAAATTTTTCAATTCGTAAAGGGTCTTTTGTATCTTTTTGCAACTACGTAACAATAAAAGAAGAAATAAAAATAATCATTCCTTGTATCATAAGAATATAATACATATATCAAATATATATGTAAATCAAAATATCTATAGGTATGTTTTTTAAATAAACATTTAATTTACATGTATTATTTGATACTTTTTAACTCGATACAGTTCAGATTTTTCAATTAACGAAGGGTAAGTGCGTAATTTAAAAATGAAGGAGCACGTGCATACACACGTGGTCGTGAATGAGAGGCACGATGTACATATAACGATTCTAGCAAGCGATTCCACCCTCGCCGCACCCTCTGACGTCACGCAGCCTCCGTTTATTGATCCATTACGAAATTACAGTCTATATTTCGACTTGAGCAGAATACAAGACGGTACCACAATGTGCCATGTACGAAAAGTAGCCAAGATGTGAAGAAAGATATATAGAATATATCCAACGTTATCTACGCGTGACCATATAATACAACAAATAAAACTTTCAAAATTAACCTACGTGTACTTTCTATTTTATCTACTTATAAATAAGTGAAAATAATCTTTTACATAAAATTAACAACGAATCAGGATCTTCGACATTTTACCAGCTCCTCTAGAAACGTCGAATCTGCTCTAAAAAAAAAGAAAAAAAAAAAAAAAAGAAGCTACCTAGTATCGTGCTGTTTCGATCGATCATCGGTTTTTTTGTTTCTCTATAAAAGAGCTTGAAAATACAAGAGTGACTCTCTTGGCAAGCGAAAATGCTCGGGGTCTCGAGATCAGAGTATCCGTTTGCGGAACGAGTGCAGTTAGTCAGTTCTGTCGCAAGCTTCGCCGCGGCCAGACGTGCAAGTGGCGTTGCCTACGCGCCGGGGTGAAACTTGCAAGCTCCCCCTTATCGAGCTTTCAGATGGCTGTGCCTTTTAGATTTTGACGTTTTTCTCATTTCCCCTTTCTCCTGTTGTACACGTTATTTTTTTTTTTAATCGTTCAAGTATATATATATATGGTCCCGGTGCGCTGGGAAGTCACCCACAGACATGCCACGGAAAATCGGATTCAACGTCGTATACGCAACCAGTAAGAGAACATCAGATTGTGACTGTGAAATTTATCGAACGACGATAACCTCCAGTTGTGTGTAGATTCTCAATGATTGGAATGATTGACATCGTTAAGATATATATATATATATATATATATATATATAT